CTCTAAGCTAATCTCTTCAAAGCCTGAATGATTCAGTTTTTTAAAGGCTCTACATGAAAAGAATGTTTGATGGGCTTTTCAGTGGGTCTGAGAAGTGGCCAATCTTAAATATTTTGCTCCCTTGGACAAAGACAAGATGATGCCAGCTAGTCCTTCCACTCCATATGTAAAAGATGCAACTATCACATCTGGGCTACAAACCTATAGATAACCACTAGATGGTAGCAGTGGGTCATTTTTGGTCTCTCTTTGCTGACATCTAGTGGTTTTGCAGCCTGGATATAGCAGCCATAAGAAAGATTGGCCTGATTGACAGCTCAATTACATTTCACAGTGGTGACAGGGACAAGCAGCCAAGTGTGGTGGCCCAAGCATTCAATCAAACTACTCTGGAGGCTGAGACTGGCAGATTACTTGAACCCAGGGATTCTGGGCTGCAATGGGCTATGCCAATCAGGTGTCTGCACTAAGTTTGGCATCAATCTGGCGATCCCTGGAGAGCTGGGAGCCACCAGGTTGCCTAAGGAAGCACAAGCTTGCTAAACAACTTCGTCCTCCAACAGCTTCTGTAAGTTCCTTGCATCTCCAATTGCCTCACTTTGCCTAAAGGAACAGCCAGTTCAGATAAAGTTCTCACCATATGAAAACTTCGGTAAATACAGAGAGTTGTTGCATAGGATGAAAGATTAAGAAATGAGAGAAAAACTCAAGGGTGATCCAGTTAAGAATAGTCTACTTTCTGTCTACTGCAACAGGTTAAAATGCAGGAATTAGGAAAAGTGTGCAAAACCATTCCCAGAAAAAGTCCTCCCAATATACTTCTGAGTTTCAGGATCCATGAAAGATGTAGAAGTAAACTGGTTAGTGTTTAAACAACTTTTGCTATTGTAGCCCCTCATTAAATGGAAGGGAAGTCTATAGTCTCCCAGTTCTGTTCAGAAGAACCTCATTTTAATAGAAACACTTTCATTCAGTCTTATTTTGAATATTAAATTGGACTACTGAATCTCACCTGTTGTCTAGGCTGGTTTCACACCAAATTACTGTTGTTGAATTATACAGTAAAGGCCTCATTCATATACAGGCTGTGTTGGTCAATCACAATGGCTGCGTTTTCATGTTGTAAATGACATTATAGCTCAGCACGGAGATAACTCAGTCATTCAACAAATCATGGTATAATGCAATGTGTGAACCCATCAAATAAACTAGGAGAATAACACAAGAGATGGGATTGCAAAGGAGGGAAGAAATGAATATTTTTTGCAGGAGCGGTGGACAATACATGACTCTTCAGATTTTGGACTATGCTACTCTGGCACTAGACACATGGGGTGGTGGGACTTGCAGTTGAACAATATCTGGCGGGTGAGATATTTCTTCTTCCTTCTTTAAAGTTTAAATAATGAGAATCCTCTGGGCAGAAGACCAAGATGATGATGATGATGGTGATGAATATGATGATGATAGAAGCCTGCTATCCTACTAAAGTTAGGGAAAAGGTGTATGTATGTAAAGGGGGGAGAATCCTAAGAAATTTAACAATGCTGCTCCCCGCTTCTCTTCCCTCCTCTATCACCTTAATTATTGCCAAGTCCTACATTTCCTAGAGCATAAAAAAAAAAAAAATTAAGGAGGTACTTTGCCAAAGAAAAGGAAGGGAGCCTTCCCTCTGCAATTCAGGCTTTATCACTTACCTCTTAAATCTGAGATATTTTGCTTCTATACAATTCCAAACAGATATCATGCCCTCGAACTGAGGAATGATGGTGGTGTTTGCCTAGGCATACTTAGAAGAGAAAAATCCTTAAGCATTTTTTGAAAAATTAACTCTAGGGCAGATATTTGGTCAAAGTCCAGATGTGGTCCTGTGCCTGAATATTTCTACTCTTGATACTGTAAGCAGCCTACTTCAACCTGGTCTCCTCTGCATGGGGTAGATAATAGTCCCCATCATTGCCAGCCAGCAGATCCACTCTGGGATGGTAGAAATGACAATCCAATACTTCTAGAGGCCCCAGTTTGGGGCAGTTAATGTTGACCTTACCTTTCTGCTCTTGTTAGCGGCCAGTTGCTGAGCCTTCAGTTCTGTAGTGTTTTCTGAGGCCCAACCCTGAAACCACTTAGCCCATGGGAAAATGTTATGCACATTTATTTGGAAGTA